AATACATACAGACTAAATAACATGCTACTGAAAATGATTGCATAAACCAAAAAATCAAAGAGAAAATTAAAAAATAAATGGAGACAAATAAAATGCAAACACAACAGTCTAAACTCTTTGGGATGCATCAGTCTAAACTAAGAGGGAAGTTTATCAATACAGGCCTACTTTAAGAAGCAAGAACAATCTCAAACAACCTAACATTACACCTAACGGAGCTAGAAAACGAACAAACAAAACCCCAAATCAGTAGAAGGAAGAAAATAATGAAGGTCAGAGCAGAAATAAACAAAATAGAAACTAAAAAGACAATAGAAGAAATAACACCTGACATCACAGAAATACATACAATTGTAAGAGAATTTTATGAAAAACTGTATGCTAACAAATTGGACAACCTAGAAGAAATGGATAAATTCCTAGAAACATATAATCACCCCAAACTGAAGCAGGAATAAATAGAAATTTTGAACAGACCAATTATCGGCAAGGAAATTTAATCAGTAATAAACTCTCAGCAAACAAAAGTTCAGGGCCAGATGGCTTCATAGGTGAATCCTACCAAACATTTAAAGAAGAGTTAGTACCTATTCTTCTCAAACTATTCCAAAAAATAGAAAAGGAAGGAAAACTTCCAAATTCATTCTATGAGGCTATAGTTACCCTGATACCAAAACCAGATAATGATACTACAGAGAAAGTAAACTCCACACCATTATCTCTGACGAATGTAGATGTAAGAATCCTCAAAAAACATTACCAAACACAATCAATAATACATTTTAAATAAATTGGTAACCGCGATCATATTAAATTTATTCCTGGGATGCAAGGGTGATTCAATAGTCCCAAATCAACAAGATACAACACATCAATGAGGATAGGAAATATACAATCATCTCAATAGATGCAGAAAAAGCATTTGACACAGTATACCATCTATTCATGATAAAAACCCTCAACAAAGTAGGTTTAGAAGGAACATACCTAACATAATAAAGGACATCTATGGAAAACACTCAGGTAACATCATATTCAATGCTGAAAAACTCAGAGTTTTTTCTCTAAGACCAGGAAAATACAAGGACATCTATTCTCACCACTTTTATTCAACATATTACTGGATGTCCTAGACACAGCAATTAGACTAGAAAAAGAAATCAAAGGCATCCAAATCAGCAAGGAAGAAGTAAAATTATCACTGTTTGCTGATGGCATGATCTATATATGGAAAAATCCTAAATCTCCACTAAAAAGATACTAGAAATGATAAATAAATTCAATAAAAACTAAGAAAAAGTTAATATACAGTGATCTGTTTTATTTCTTTACATTAATAATGAAGTATCAGAAAGAGAAATTAAGAAAAGAATCCCATTTACAATTGCACCACAAATCATAACAACACCTAGGAATAAACTTCACCAACGTGGTGAAAGACCAGTAATTTGCAGAGTATAAAACACTGATGAAACAAATTGAAAAGGACACAAACAAATGGAAAGATATTCTGTGCTCATGGATTGGAAGAACAAACATTGATAAAATGCCCATACTACCCAGTCTACAGATTTAATGCAACCCCTATCAAAATACCAACAGTATTTGTGAAAATATTCTAGCTCTAGTAAGAACCAGAAAATTCTTAAATTTACACGTAACCACAAAAGACCTGAATAGCCAAAGCAATCTTCAAAAAGAACAAAAAAGCTGGAGGTATCACAATTCCAGATTTCAAAATATACTACAAAGCTGTAGTAATCAATGGAACAGAGATAAATGGAACAGAATAGTGTAGAAATAAACCCACACTTATATAAAGTCAATTAATCTACAACAAAGGAGGCAAGAATATTGAATAGAGAAGAGACAGTCTCTTCAACATATGGTGCTGGGAAAACTGGACAGCAACATGCAAAAAAAAAAAAAAAAAAAGAAAGAAACTGGATCACTTTCTTACACCATACATAAAAATAAACTCAAAGTGAACAGAAGACCTAAATGTAAGACCTGAAACTGTAAAAATCTTAAAAAGAAATCATAGGCAGTACTGTCTTAGACATCAGGTATAGAAATGTGTGTGTGTGTGTGTGTGTGTGTGTGTGTGTGTGTATCCTCAGGCAAGGGAAACAAAACCAAAAGGAAACTATTGGGACTATTTCAAACTAAAAATCTTTTGCACAGCAAAGGAAACCATCAACAAAATGAAAAGGCAACTTACTGAATGGGAAATGATATTTACAAATGATATACATCACAAGGCATTAATATCCAAAATATAAAAAGAGCTTCTACAACTTAACACCAAGAAAATCTGATTTTAAACTGGGGAGAAGAACTGAATAGACATTTTTCCAAAGAACACATACAGATGGCCAAGAGACAAATGAAAAGATGCTGAATATCACTTATCTGGGAAATGCAAACCAAAACTACTACTAGCTAAACTACTAATAGCTAAAATCAAAAATACATGAAATAACAAATTTGGCAATTATGTGGAGAAAAAGGGAACCCTCATGCGCTATTGGTGAGAATGCAAATTGGTGCAGCCACTGTGGAAAGCAATTGTACAAATCCCTCAAAAAATTAAAAATAGAACTACCCTACAACCCAGTAATTCCACTACTAGGTATTTATGCCAGGAAATAAAAATGTTAATTTGAAAAGATATATGTACCTCTATGTTTACTGCAGCATTATCTTAATAGCCAAGATAGGGATGCAACCAAGTGTCCATGGATAGATGAATGAATACAAAGAAGTGATATATATATATATATATATATATATATATATATATAGGAATAATACCATTACTTAGCTATAAAAACAAATGAAATCTTACCATCTGCAACAACATTGGTGAACCAAAAGGGTATAATGCTAAATGAAATAAATCAGTAAGAGAAAGACAAATACCATATGATTTCGCTCACATGTGTGATTTAAAAAATGAGACAAACATAAGACTCTTAAATACAGAGAACTAACTGATGGTTGCCAGAAAGGTGGAGGGTGAGGAAATGGGTGAAACAGATAAAGGGGATAAAGATGCACTTATCTTGATGAGCACTGAAAAATATGTGGAATTTTTGAATTATTATGCTATACACCTGAAACTAATATAACACTGTATGTTAATTATACTTGAATTTTGAAAATGGATCAAAGACCTAAATGTGAGACCTGTAACTATAAATCTCTTAAAAGAAAAATGACACAAAGCAATGGATTTGGCTATGATTCCTTGGATATGATGCCAATGTCACAAGTTATCAACAGGATGCACAAGTTGGATTTCATCAAAATTTAAAACTTTTGGGGCGCCTGGGTGGCGCATTCGGTTAAGCGTCCGACTTCAGCCAGGTCATGATCTCGCGGTCCGTGAGTTCGAGCCCCGCGTCAGGCTCTGGGCTGATGGCTCAGAGCCTGGAGCCTGTTTCCGATTCTGTGTCTCCCTCTCTCTCTGCCCCTCCCCCATTCATGCTCTGTCTCTCTCTGTCCCAAAAATAAATAAACGTTGAAAAAAAAATTAAAAAAAAAATTAAAACTTTTATGTAAAGAGGACACTATTAACAGTGAAAAAGCAATCCATAGGAAAGGATAGCTGCAAATCATTTATCCAATGAGGAATTAATATACAGAATATAATAAAAAACTAAAATGCAACACCAAAAGACAACCCAGTTCAAAGCTATAAAAAAGACTTGAATTAAAAGGTATTCAAAGAAGTTATATAGATAGCCAATAAGCACATGAAAAGATGTTCAACATCACTAATTATAACGGAAATGTAAATTAAAACCATGAGATGGGCATTAAGGAGTACACTTGTGATGAGCACTGTTACATGCAAGTGAGGAATCACTAAATTCTGCACCTGAAACTAATATTATACTGTATGTTAACTAACCGAATTTAAATAACTTTAAAAAATAAAATAAACTTAAACATTAAAAAAAACACCATGAGATACCATTTCACACTTATTAGGATAACTATTAACAACAACAACAAAACTATAATTGGCAAGGATGTGGAGAAATTGGCTTGAGGAAGAAATAGTTCACAGAAGGGATGGTACATTGGGCCAGTGTTTTCTCCTTTGCCTCAACTATTTACCAGTTCAAGATTTGTGGTATTCAGAACATCCACAGCTCGACTATCCTACAATTCTTTACTTTCATACTACCTGAAAGTCACTATTTATTTATATTTCAGGATAACTTTACAATTGGAAAAGGCTGTCTGAAGAAATTGTCCTGGCCTAATGAATTCTTTATATTGTCCCTAATAAGATGAAAACCTCACATTCTGTGAAATCATGCCCTAAAAATTAAACCTTATGAAGAGGTTTGGAACTTTGTAACTTAAGTGGTAATGAAAACAATAATCCTAAGTATCTATGATTATTTATACTGAGAATTAGTTGATCAATCTTTTGCAGGCTTTAAGTTGTGGGCTTGTGTTTCTTCGTTTCAGGTATAGGTTCTAGAAATCATTTCCTTTTAATAGAATATTTCATTAATATTAAAAATATGATCCAGAGGTAGCCTTTTTAATAAATGCTCTTTTTGTAATCACCAGGTGAAAAGTCTTCATGGCTTATCTGTACTTGCAGCTCCCCCAGACAGCTTAGCATGGTCATAAATTAGGTGGTTTCTGAAGCCACTAACCTAGCCATTCCTTGCACTTTAAGGACTTTCACCTTTTTTTCTTAGAGTCTTCATATATTGTTAAGAGTTAATTTTTTCAGTCGTGAGAAAGTTTGTCTCTCTTTGTTTTAACACATTAGCTTACTATAAAAATGATGTTTGAACGAGTACAACTTCCACACAGGACTTGTATCATTCCCCAACTTACCAGCTGCATATGAACTATAAAATATGTTATGGAAACGCACATATCTTGCAGAAAAGACTGTTTCATGGTATGGCAACTTCAGTCTTTTTTATTTTAAGGAAGAAAGAAGGAATAAATCCTATGATCTCTTTTACCTTATGGAGTTTCATTTTCTGCCTTTGTGACAAACAAGGAATGATTGTGTTCAGTGTGATATTTCTTCAGTGTTCTCCATGACCTATGGAAAATAAGAACTAAGATGTTTTCTCCATCTCAATTTTTCTTTATATGCATACCACCAATACATATAGTTTTATTTACATTTATAAACCTACTGTTTGTGATGTGAAGAGTTGAGGTAAGCTAGCCTAGAACATCTAAACAAGCCAGTATCCTGCCTACAATGCTCATCAGAACACAGAAGAGTTGCATCAGCACCCCATTCAGGTCTCACAAATATAAGTGTCCCTATCTTTCCTCACTGCCTATTTTCTTTCATAGAATGAGAATACCACCACCTGCCTCACAACAGGAGTTAAGATTTATATGAGATAACATGAAATGTCAGCCACAGTGCCTGGCATGTATAGGCATCTGATATTCATGATTATTTCATTACACTGCTTTCTTTGCATTTGAAGAGCTATACTTTCAGAACTAGAGCATTATTCCAATAGAGGGATACACAGTTACAATGTAAATGCACGGTAGGATTTCAGGCTGTGAATTTACTTAACAAACAAACATTCACAGGGTAGTTGATAAACGATTTGAATAAGGTCAAGGGGAGTTTCTTGGTGAAACTTTACAGATGAATGTGGTCCCAGACATTATCATTACAAATATAACAAAGAACAACAATGTGCAAAACCATTAAAATACATTTTACTCAATTATAAAATATAGGAACACATCTCAATCTCTTGAGAACTCAAGTGATAATTTTGAGCATATCACAATGCAACATCTGAGGGCATCACTTAATAGTGGCATTTCTTTCGGTCTGCCTTTTTAATGTGATATATTATGTAACAGTATTTACCATTTGAATTATTTTTTGAGAGAGAGAGTGAAAGCATGAACAGGGGAGGAGCAGGATACGGAGAGAGAGAATCTTAAGCAGGCTCCACCCTCAGTGCAGAGCCTGACACGGCTCGATCTCACAACTGTGAGATCGTGACCTATGCCAAAAATCAAGATTCCCATGCTCAAATGACTGAGCCACCCAGGCACCCATAAATTATTTTTAAGTGTGCAGCTCAGTGGCATTTAGTACCTCCACACTGTTGTGCAACCATTACCACCATCCATCTCTAGAACATTGTCATCAACCCCTACTGAATCTGTACTCATTAAGTAGAAACTCCCATTCTATTCTCAGCCCTTGGTACTACCATTCTATTTTCTGTCTCTATAAATTAGATTATTCTAGATATCTAAATGGAATCATACAGTACTTATCTTTTGTGTCTGCCTTATTTCATTTACCATAATGTCTTTTTCTTTTCAAATTTTTATTTAAATTCTTCATAGTTAACATATAGTGCAATATTGGTTTCAGGAATAAAATTCAGTGATTCATCACTTACATACAACACCCAGTGCCCATCATAATACTCATGAGTAATACACAAGTGCCCTTCATAATACTCATCACACATATAGCCCATCTCCCATCCACTTCCCTCCATCAACCCTCAGTTTGTTTTCTATCTTTAAGTCTCTTATGGTTTGTTTCCCTCTTTTTTCTCCTCATATGTTCATCTGTTTTGTTTCTTAAATTCCAAACATGAGTGAAATCATATGGTATGTGTCTTTCTCTGACTTATTTCACTTAGCATAATACACTCTAATTCTATTCATCTCATTGCAAATGGCAAGATTTCATTTTTTATGGCTGAGTAATATTCTATTGTATATATACCACGTCTTCTTTATCCATGCATCGTTTGGGCTCTCTCCATAGTCTGGCTACTGTTGATAATGCTGCTATACACATCAGCATGCATATACCTCTTAAAATCTGTACTTTTTATTATTTTAGAGAGAGAGTGCATGAGTGGGGTAGAGGGGCAGAGAAGAAGAGAAAGAATCTTAAGCAAGCTCCATGTTCAGTCTGGAACCCATCATGAGGCTCAATCCTATGACTCTAGGATCCTGACCTGAGCCAAAATCAAGAGTCAAATGCTCAACCAACTGAGCCACCCAGGTGCCCTCGAATCTATATTTTTGTATCCTTTGGGTAAATACCTAGTAGTGCGATTGCTGGATCATATGGTAGTTCTATTTTTAACATTTTGAGGAACCTCCATACTATTCCCCAGAGTAGCTATACCAGTTTGCATTCCTACGAACAGTGCAAGAGGGTTCCCCTTTCTCCACATCCTCACCAACATGTTTTGCTTCTTGTGTTGTTAATTGTGGCCATTCTGACACTGAGGTGGTATCTCATAGTGATTTTGTTTTGTATTTCCCTGATGATGAGTGATGTTGAACATCTTTTCATGTGTCTGTTAGCCATCTGGATGTCTTCTTTGTAAAAGTGTCTATTCGCATCTTCTGCCCATTTCTTAACTGGGTTATATGTTTTTTGGGTGTTGAGATTGATAAGTTCTTTATAAATTTTAGATACTAACCCTTTATCAGATATGTTGCTTGAAAATATTTTCTCCCATTCCATACACTGTCTTTTAGTTTTGTTGATGATTTCCTTTGCTGTGCAGATTTGTTTCTTGATGGAAGTCCCAGTAGGTCAGTTTTGCTTTCGTTTCCTTAGCCTCTGGCAACGTCTATAAGAAGCTGCTCAGGCCAAGGTCACAGAGGTTGCTGCCTATGTTCTTCTCTAGGATTTTGATGTTTTCCTGTTTCCTGTCTCACATTTAGGTCTTTTTCATCCATTTTGAATTTATTTTTGTGTATGGTGTTAAGAAAGTGGTCCAGTTTCATTCTGCATGTCACCATCCAGTTTTCCCAACACCGTTTATTGGAGAGACTGTCTTTTTTCCATTGGATATTTTTTCCTGCTTTGTCAAAGATGAGTTGACCATATAGTTCTGGGCCCATTTCTGGGTTTTCTATTTTGTTCTATTGATCTTTGTGTCTGTTTTGTGCCAGTGCCATACTATCTTGATGACTACAGCTTTGTAATATAGCTTGAAGTCTGGAATCATGATGCCTCCAGTTGTGTTTTTCTTTTTCAGGATTGCTTTCGCTATTCAGGGTCTTTGTGGTCTCCTACAAGTTTTAAGATTGTTTGTTCTAGCTCTGTGAAAAATGCTAGTGGCTTTTGATGGGGATTGCATTAAATGTGTAGATTGCTTTGGGTAGTATAGACATTTAAACAATGTTTATTCTTCCAATTCTAGATATCTAGAGCATGGAATGCCTTTCCATTTCCTTGTGTGCTCTTCAATTTCTTTCATAAGTCTTCTATAGTTTTCAGAATACAGAAATTTTAACTCTTTAGTTAGGTTTATTCCTTGGTATCTCATGGTTTTTGGTGCAGCTGCAAATGGGATCAATTCCTTGCTTTCTTTTTCTGCTGCTTCGTTACTTGTATATAGAAATGCCACAGATTTCTGCACATTGACTTCATATTCTGTGACTTTGCTGAATTCATGTATTCTAGAAATTTTTTGGTGGAGCTTTTGGGTTTCCTACCTATATAAAGGATCATGTTGTCTGCAAATAGTGAAAGTTGACTCTTCTTCCTTGCTGATTTGGATGCCTTTACTTATTTCTCTTGTCTGATTGCTGAGGCGAAGACTTCCAGTAGTATGGTAAATAATAGTGGTAAGAGTGGACATCCTTGCCTTGTCCTGACCATGGGGGAAAAGCTCTCAGTTTTCCTCACTGAGAATGATGTTAGCTGTGGATCTTTCAATCACTTACCAGAAAGTCCTTGCTTTCAATTGTTTAGTGTATATATCCATAAGTGGAATTGGTGGATCACAAGGTAATTCTATGTTCAGGTTTCTGAGGTGCTGAAATACTGTTTTCTAGTGTGGCCGCACCATTTTACATTTCGACAACAACCCATCAAAGTTCCAGTTTCTCCACATCCTTGCTAACACTTGTTTTCTGTTTTGTGTGGGTTTTTTTGTTGTTTATTTGTTTTTATGTTTGTAATAGCCTTCCTAATGGGTGTGGAGTGGTACCCCCTGGTTTTTGATTAGCATTTCCCCAATGATTAGTGATATTTTTTAAATGTTTATTTTTGAGAGAGAGAGAGAGAGAGCACAAGTGGAAAGGGGCAGAGAGAGAGGGAGGGGGGAAACAAAGAATCCAAAGCAGGCTCCATATTCTGAGCTGTCAGCGCAGAGTCCGATGCAAGGCTCGAAACTGTGAGATCATGACTTTAGCCTAAGTCAGACACTTAACTGACTGAGCCACCCAGCCACCCCTCCAAAGATTAATGATATTGAGAATCTTTTCATGTGCTTTTTGGCCATGTGTATATCTTTGGAGAAATGTCTATTCAAGTCCTTTGCCCATTTTTGAATTATGTTGATTTGTTGTTGAGTTTTAGGAGTTCTAGCTTATGTGTTCTGATACCAATCCCTTATCAGATATGTGATTTATAAACATTTTCTCCAATTTTCTGGTTTGCAGTTTTACTTTGTTGATAACATATTTTGATGCATAAAAGTTTGTAATGTTAATAAAGTCCAATTTATCTAATTTTTCTTTTGTTGCCTGTGATTTTTATGTCATATCTAAGAAATCATTGTCAAATCCATTTTCATGAAGTCTTTCCCCTATGATTGCTTCTCAGATTGCTTCTAAGCTTTTTTAGCTCTTATGTTAGATCTTTTCCCAAGTAAGAGTCCAACTTCATTCATCCCTTTGCACATGGACATCCAGGTTTCCCAGCACTGTTTGTTGAAAAGCTGACTGGCTTTCTTTAAAACAACTTTACTGAGGTATAATTTACATCTTATAAATTCACCTTTTCAAAGTATACAATTCAACAAAGTTTAGTAATTTAGAGTTGTGCAACCATCACCACAATCCACTTGCAGATAATAATACCGTCACCCTTAAAAGATCTCATTGCCCATTTGCAATCACACCCCATTCCAACCTGGAACCCTGGGAAACCACTTGCATAGTAACTTCAAGGTTCATCCATGTTGTAGCATCTATTTTACTATAAATGTAAGCTTACCAATGTGTGGTCTTTTGCATGCGGTATCAGTAAAACGGAGATTTATCCATGTTATACTATCAGTAGTTTGT